CCAAGGCCACTCTTGTTGGATATGCTGATGCTGGATATTTGTCTGATCCACAAAAGGCAAAGTCTCAAACAGGATATGTGTTTACTTATGGCGATACCGCAATATCATGGAGATCGATGAAACAAACTTTGACTGCCACATCATCAAATCACGCGGAGTTGATAGCTCTGTACGAAACAGGTAGAGAATGTGTATGGTTGCAATCAATGATCCAACATATCCAGAGCGAGTGCGGTATAGAAACAATTACTAGTCATCCGACTCCTATATATGAAGACAACACTGCATGCATTGCTCAAGTGAAAGGAGGTTACATCAAAGGAGACCGAACAAAACATATATCACCAAAGTTCTTCTCAACACATGATCTCGAGAAAGATGGAAAGGTTGACATCAAGCAAATCAAGTCGAGCGAGAACCCTGCTGATCTATTTACAAAAGCATTGCCCCCGAATAAATTTGAAGAACTCGTACACAAGATTGGCATGCGTCGTCTCTGTCAATTATGCTAAGCTGAGGGGGAGAATTTTATGAACTGTACTCTTTTTCCCTTGATCAGGTTTTTATCCCACTGGGTTTTTTCTGACAAGGTTTTTAACGAGACAGTACATAAAATTAGAATGAGTTACTAAACTATGTCCATTTCACGAAGTACTCATCATTAATTGAAAAATGAACATTCAAGGGGGAGTGTTATGAAATTAATGATTGTTCATTTATTCAATTAATCAGGACTAATTTCTAGAATAGTAGATTAAGACATTGATGAGTATCAATTATGTACCGTACTTCCCACTTGTATTTGTATCCATACCAAGGCTCTCCACTATAAATAGAGGCCTAATCCCTGCATTGTAATGACCATTAAGAATAAGAAGAAGAGTGAAGAACTAATAGAGAGAAGAAATCAGAAATATATTATATTTTTTCTCATAATCTCTGAGTAGTTTTTCTCTCATTTTATATCATTTTATAACATAGTTCATTGAAAAGGGGGAGTATGCCTACTGGTTCGACTATAAACTTTGTACACGCCCATTTTGAGAGCAACTGCTCTTAAAGGCTGTGTCCCCCAAGACGGTTGCTCAACCATGCGCCTCAGACAAATATACACCTCGCGCTCACGTCAAAATGACCTTGTAACCAATTTCAAAGCGGCGAAACCTCTTATTCTCACCGGAAAACCATCCCAGGCTGCTACGCGTTCAAGTCTAAATGCGGGTTCAGACGTAGTGAAATGGAATATGGCAATCACCAAACACATGCGGAATGGGGAATGTGAATCTGCATTGAGCTTATTCAATTCCATGCCTCTGAAAAACAGTGTCTCTTGGAACTCAATGATCTCTGGGTACCTGTTGAACGGCAGGTTCGACTTCGCCCTGCATCTGTTTGATCAAATGCCGCAAAGGGACTTGGTTTCTTGGAACGTGATGTTGAGTGGGCATGTGAGGAATAAGAATCTTGGGGCAGCTAGGTTGTTGTTTGACCAAATGCCTGAGAGAGATGTGGTCTCGTGGAACACTATGCTCTCTGGGTATGCACAAAATGGGCATATTGATGAAGCGAGGTGGATTTTTGATATGATGCCTGTGAGGAATGAGATTTCATGGAATGCACTACTTGCCACATACGTGCGTAATGGGCTGATTGAAGCGGCTAGGAGATTGTTTGAGTTGAAGGAAAGCTGGGGGGTGGTTTCTTGGAATTGTTTGATGGGTGGGTATTTAAAGAAGAGGATGTTGGCTGAGGCCAGAGCAATTTTCGAGAGAATGCCTGTGAGGGACAAGGTTTCATGGAACACAATGATTTCCTGTTGTGCTCAGGATGGTGATTTGGATGAAGCAAGAAGGTTGTTCAATGATTTCAGGGTATGTGCAAAATGGTAGAGTGGAGGAAGCTAGGGAGATTTTTGATGCGATGCAAGTGAAGAATGAGGTCTCATGGAATGCAATGATTGCGGGGTATGTTCAATGCAAAAGGATGGACTTGGCTAGGGAGTTGTTTGAGGCAATGCCCTGTAAAAACATTAGTTCATGGAACACAATGATAACAGGTTATGCTCAAAATAGTGATATTGTTAGTGCAAGGAGCTTGTTTGAATGTATGCCTCAACACGATTGCATTTCTTGGGCTGCAATTATTGCTGGATATGCTCAATGTGGTCAAAGTGAAGACGCACTGCGCATGTTTGTGGAATTGACAAGAGACGGGGAGAGGATCAATAGGTCTTCATTTACATGTGTTGTAAGTACTTGTGCTGATATTGCTGTTTTTGAGTTGGGCAGACAAGTACATGGCCGACTTGTAAAGGCAGGATATGAATCGGGCTGTTTTGTGGGGAATGCACTCCTAACAATGTATTGCAAGTGTGGAAGCATTGATGAGGCACTTGATGTTTTCAAGGGAATTGCGGAGAAGGATGTGTTCTCTTGGAATACAATGATTGCTGGTTACGCAAGGCATGGATATGGCAAAAAGGCTCTAGATTTTTTTCAAGAAATGAAGTGCTGTGGCATGAATCCTGATGATGTTACTATGGTATATTTTTAGTTTCAGCTTTCCATAAGTTGCATCTAATAATAATAGTATATGCACATCCCAGTCATGGAAATACCATATGGCGTATTAGCAAACATGTATGGAGTATAGTGGGACTTGAATTGATCTCCAGGTTCATTAGTGTTGTAGGTTTTTAATCTCATGCTTCACTTCCAGATCTTAAAGCCTTATGGGAGATTTAGCTAATCTTAAATGGATATTACTTGGATGCCTTATTATAAGGCTGCCTTGCAGACTGTCTTACTGTATGTAAGACTGTAACACACACACACATTTGTCAAGTCTTCTAACAAAGCAACTACTTAGTTAATACTGCTTTATTATTTAAGTAGTCCTTTCATTCAAGTCATTTAATGCCAATGTGTATATTCCATGCCATAATTTGTGGGGAAAATGTTTCCTTAGTTGTCTTCTACTTTCTCTAGTGTATGTTTTTCTCCCGTTGGTGTGCTCTTCTTTTTCTTTGGATAATGATTTTTAGATATGACTCGCCATCTTATTTAATTAATTAGGTTGGCATACTCGCTGCTTGCAGTCATACTGGCTTGGTTGAAAGGGGAATGCGATACTTTTATTCTATGAAGGTAGACTATGGGATAGATGCAAATTCAAAGCACTACACTTGCATGATTGATCTCTTGGGTCGAGCTGGTCGCCTGGCTGAAGCACAAAATTTAATCAAGAGCATGCCCTTTGAACCAGATGCTGCCACATGGGGTGCTATCCTTGGGGCGAGCAGGATGCATGGAAATATGGAATTAGGGGAAAAAGCCGCTGAAAAGATTTTTACATTGGAGCCATGGAATACCGGGATGTATGTTCTTTTGTCTAACTTGTATGCAGCTTCTGGTAGATGGCGTGATGTGAGCCAGATGAGATTAAAGCTAAGGGATAGTGGTACAAGGAAAGTTCCTGGGTACAGCTGGGTTGAGGTGCAAAACAGGATTCACATTTTTTCAGCTGGGGACTCCACACATCCAGACAGTGAAAGAATTTATGCTTTCTTGGAAGACTTAGAACTGCAGATGAAGCATGAAGGCTATGTGGTTGCTACAAAATTAGTCTTGCATGATGTAGACGAGGAGGAGAAGGCACATATGCTCAAGTATCATAGTGAAAAATTAGCTGTTGCATTTGCAATTCTGAATGTGCCCTCTGGGAGACCAATCCGCGTGATAAAGAATTTAAGGGTTTGTGGAGACTGTCACACTGCAATCAAACTTATATCAAAACTTGTGGGGAGATCAATAATTTTACGGGACAATAACCGGTTTCACCATTTCAATGAGGGTATATGCACCTGCGGCGACTATTGGTAAGAGCAAAGAGTGTTGGGTGCACTACCTGTCACTATATTCTCATGGTGTTTAGTCTTAATGCCTCTTGGAATTAATGGAATCGAAAGGTCCTCTATACTTCTTTCCCTGTCCACAAACCCGATGACATATTTCATTGGGAAACACACAAACATCTTTTTGTGCTGAGCGCTGAGGTGAGCATCACAAGTTGGTCAACCAGATTTATTATTCGAAAAAAGGCTTGTCTTCGTAATGACATGCAAAAAGCTAGGCTGCTACGGAGTCTAAAGATCTAACAACACACTTGTAAATACATGGATCCTGTTGTGGCAGTGAAGCACAAACACAGATCAAATAGCAATTGAAGGGTAACATTTTAAGGTAAGATCTCAGAGCGATAGTTCATTGAAAGTGTCTCTAAGGTTCTGTTAACATCATTGGGAAAGTTGAAGGTCAAACATAAAAGTGTAAAGGTCGGTTGATTGTGTGTCTTGCTTTCTGTTAATATCACATTGGATGTATTTTCATTATACTTTTCTAACTGGAGAGTGCTGTATTACAAGACTAGTAGTCCTCTGTTATCTTTGTTGCTTGACTTGCCTCACATGCTTATTGTTTGTCCTAGCTTATTTTTAAGTATTTTCTCCAAAAGACTGAGCCGCAGAGGTTGAACCATGCATTTGAAATTAATACGAAGTAATAAGCTTGTTAGGGCTTACATCAGAGGAAAGAAATTCATTTTCCAGAAGCTCCAAAGTTTTAGGATTTTGTAGGGAAACAAAAGAAATTTAAGAAACTCATGAGTGGGTGATTGAGCACTTGAGCTTATGACCATCTTTTATGGGTAAATGATCCCAAATTCCTCCCCAGCTTTTTTATATACTGTGAAATGACTTGTCAATAAATAGCAAACTTTAGCAATCACTTCCTCCGTCCCAATTAGTTGTAAACTTTATTATCCGAAATTAGTTTTCCATTTTCCATATTCAATAAAGAAATTATAATGAATTGTCTAAAATATCCTATAGATAGAGTATGGGCATTGTTGACATGCATGATTGACAAACTCATTTGAAGGGCTTACTTGGCATTTTAAAGTCATTTCTTAAAAATGAGATCTTTTAGGAAGTGGACAACTAAATCCGGATGCAGGGGTAGTAATAGAAGCATGGAAAGAAATAAACTATAATTTTCGATGAGTTCTGTTTTGAGGTTCAGGAATTTCAATTATTAAGTGAAATTATATGGGTTTTCACAGTACATTTTCAGTTCTTAAATAAATTTATGGAGACGGCACAGGCTGATACCTTTGGAGAGGGGAGAGGTCTTCTCACTAGGTTAACTTAGTTCAATGGAGATTAAGAGAGCTTAGTTAAAATAAATAAACTTCTAAATATACATTTTGAAGTGAACTTGAGAATTAAGAGACCTGTGTTCTAGCTCTGTGTGCACTTTGAAGTTTGGACTTTCAACCCAAATTAGGAACTGTTGTTTCATAGTATGCAATGCCCAGTGATGATTGCAAAAAAAAAAAATCTTAGGATGATGGGAGTACCAGTAGTTGAGGTGAGAACAGCATAAATTTTAGCTAAAAATGGTATTATGTTTTTACCGGAACATAATTGAAGATATTAACAATTTAGTTTGTGCATTGACAAGCATGAGAATTCCAATGTTGCAATTAGTTTAGAACGGAGGAAGTAAAATGTAATGTTCGACAAAAGAAACCTGTTCCAATATATTTCATTTATATACTACTTTGTCATATTGAATTACTACATGAGAATCATTGGATTTTAACAAATGCCAGGTTTATGCTGTGGCTTTAGAAGATATGGATTCCATAAACTTTGGAGCTCCAAAGTTTCTTCGCCATTTGACGGATCCTAGCTCCAAAACAATACCTGCAATGGAAATTCAAGTTTCAAAGGTACTAATGGCACTGAAAAGATTATTTGTATGGTTTCATTCAATTTACTTTTATTGACTACCTTTATTTCAGGTTATAGAAGAGCTGGAACTTACAATGGATCAGTACATTGACTTCTGCATTCTATGTGGATGTGATTACTGTGATAACTGCATACGAGGTACCTAACCACTTTCGGACAACCGTCTCCAACCCTCCATATATCTGATTTTTTTAATATTTGAATTACACTATGGTTAATGAGTATTACACTTCTACCTAAATGGCTAAATCCATTAATACAATGGTATCTGTTTCTTTTATTTGATCAGTATGTGGCTAGTCGATAACGTTCATAACGGACAATGTTTCTCTGTTTTTCCTTTTCCTTTTCCTCTTTCCATTCTGACTCCTTAAATTAATCTTTAAAAAATGTTTTCTTCTTTGAATAAATAATAGCCTTTATGGTTATTTTTTTGGAAACCAAGTTACCAACAGGACCAATTAGTTTGATGATGCTTGTGGGAATGTGGAATGCATAGATCATCATGTGTTCTGCCTTAAACCATAAAGTTGTATGTATCATTATCAAAGTCATATGCATCAATGCATGTTCTTTATATCTCTGCTCATCGCATTCATATGTTATTATGTTTCCTAATAAATTCTATCAGATTTTAAACTGGAACGTTTGCTCACACTTGCAGGTTTACATGATACTGCACTTGTTACTCCCTCCGCCCCAACATCTCTACCTATCCGCTTCCATTTTAGGATATTCCATAGTCGCCGTGCGCTTCATTTTATATTCACGGATGCAATGACGTTGAAAACTGTTGGGCATTGTCCTTACCAACATGCACATTGATGGGTGAGTTGATAGACATTGAATTCGTGACAATGTTGACATCATATCATGGCAGTGTGGTTGGAGACATTAACGTGATGGTCGCGACCAACACGACATTGGAAATCAACGAAGGTGGCAGAAGACAATGGGAGTGGTGGTCATTAAATTGCGGTCTCCCGTGTACTCTCATAACACTTTGACTATTAATGTCTATATTTATACATGGATATATTTTATAAAAAAAGAATATTTCAAAAATTAATTTATTGATATTACATCTTTATCATAACACAATGTATTTTTTTGCATATTAGGGTTAAAGTTTACCAATAAAGTAACCTCTTAAAGTAGACACGTAATCTATTTAAAGAAACAACCCCAAAATATTGACGAGTCTAGAACGCATGTTAAAATACACCCAAAAATACTCCGTATTTATTATCCCACATATTTAAAGAATGCAACAACAACAACAACAAAAAGTCTGGAAGGAATGAAGGATGCAAAGAATAAAAACTCCGTAACAAATTAAGCATTAAGAAATCACACATGGACAGTAAACGCCCAACCGACCCAAACAACACACCTCCACTAAGGCCTAGAAGACTACCAATTATCCTAGTCTTAGATCTCCAAACGTTCCTATGCTCGATAACATTTAGAAAATTAATTAAATAAATAAATAAATTAATTGTTTATCATAACATTGTGAACATGCTTATCCATGAATCTTTAGATGCACCTTAGAATTTGCTAAAATTGATGGAAACCAATGTCGCAGGTCATACTATTCCAATTCTTAGTAAATTGGAATGAACAGAAATTTACATATCATACAACGGATGTACAATATTTTCATGTACACATTCGCATTTACATATTACACTATTTATTTCTCATTTATATGTTAGCATATATTCATGTACATTATGAATTTATGTAAATACATCATAGTTTTAAAAGGTGATCGCTTCCCTCGCCTAATGCGCCTCAGGCATCCGGGCAACCTACCACCTATGGAGGTAGGTTCAGGCGAGGCACTTTCCGCCTTTCTCACCTAAACCCCTCGCTTCTCTTGCCTCTGGCGTTCGCTTTTCTCGCTAGCTTTCTATGGACCTTTTGAATGGCTAGCATCTTAAACGCGGCTCATTTACACCCTAGCGCGACTATGCCTACCAGAATTGAGTCAATCGACACAACTCTACCTTGTCTCCTCTGGTCTCATCAGTAACTCAGGTCTTGTCTCCTCTCTCTCTCTTCTCTCTGTTTTGTTTTGCAGCCTACTTTTTTACCATATTTTGTATGCTTGACAAGTTTAGCTAACACCAGAGGTGAGAGAGGAGAGTGATGATGAGTATGAGAATAATTTTAAACCTCTTATTTCATCAAATATGATGGAAAATATGGATTTCTCTTTGAGTGATGATGATTTCGATTAGGCTTTGAGAAACATATATAGTAACTACTCTAATTGTTTTGTTTAAATGTATGACTTGCTTGGGATTGACATTATTAATTGCATCGCACTATATATTTTGTAAGTGTATCTCTGCGCTAGTATTTATTGACTTATTGTTTATAAATAATTTTTAATTTATAAGCTGCTTATAAGCTAAAAATTCTTTTCTATAGATAAAATGGCTTAAATGATATATAAGTCATTTCGAGATATTCATAAGAGGTGAAGAATAGTTTTCTAAGTAATTCGGTCAAAACTCAAAACAGATAAATAAAAAAACTGACTTAAAAATAAGTATGACCTACTTATTTTTTTTGTTTATAATTAGTTTATAAGTTAGCTTATAAGCATAGAGATACACGTCATCTGTTGGCTTATAAGTTAAAAACATCTTATAAGCAGTTTTGACCAGCTTATGTGTGTGCATGCCCCATGTTCGCACTTTTGGCCGCTCGCCTTTCACCTTAAAAACGGCCCTCTCTATGAAATACATTTAATAATTGCACGATTCTCATTTCCTTGTTAAAAAGACTTCATTTTGCTGCTAATAACACTTCCAATCTATGCAAGAAATCAGAATGAAATTATAGAAAAGTGCACATTTTTTTTGTACATATTCAGCACATGCACATTTACTAGTTATATACTTCAATATTAATTGGATGTATAGCAAAGTAGGTACCTATACGATATAATGTGCCTAACTTTTACCTATAATCACTCTATATAACAGCATACAATCACTTGTCAATGAGTTTAGTGCACCTAAATCAGGCAAAATTGGCACAAATCAGATGCGTGCGGTGTTATTGATATTCTCCAAGGAGAATGCAGCACCCGTGGCCTCTTCAGACACAGAAGGATTAGACCTTAGAATATACACAACCCACAGGTGAAGAAACACAAGGTAAACAACTGACCATGTCCTTGCTTTGGAGTGTCGCCGTAGGAACAATGCTCCTGCAGAGAAGACGTAATCTAACTGCCAAACCAAAGACCAGAAATGTCGCTGACCTGAATGAACCTTTTCCTCAAAAGAAGACTTGGGTTTTGTCCATTCCCCCAGTTCCAAATCGCCGGTTGATGAGGATGAACTGTGAATATTGGATGAATGCATCGTTTTGTTTTCGTCCAATGACTTTGACAGAGCCTGGGAGGGAAAGAAACCAATTGCAAAGTTTAGTCCGAAATCCAATGCAGATAGAAAAGTGTATGACAACAGTGATAACTTGCCTCAATTTTAAACAGCAGTGTGGCCTTTTGCGAGGAGAGAGCTTCAACCTAAATGAATCAGAGAGGAATTTAATTGAAGAAAATTAATATCAATAATCTGAATTTTTGAGCGATTACATATGCTAATCTAAACATAGATACATGCAACACACAATCCCAACTTTATTATAGTCATTCACTTTTGCTCCGAAATTTAAGCTCCGGTAATCTTCTGTTAATTTTTTTTACTGTCGCGGTAGACTGTTTTAAAACTGAAAGGACATACCCCAATAAAAACAACCCACTTGACACCCTATAACCCAACCCTCCCTATTTAACCCTCATGCCCCAATAATCTTTCTCACTTTTCCATCCCTGCATTTCTCTTTTGTTGAGACGGTCAACATTTTAGATTTTTCCCTCTTTTGTTTTCCTTTTATTTTTTCTTCAATTTGGTTTTCTGACTTTTCTCCCACTGACTTCATCTCCTATATTTTTTTTTCTTTTCTTCTTTCTTTCTCTCTCTCTCAGCAGTGAAGAGATCGGATCATCAGATAATTTGAGATTTTAGGTTGGTGTTTGGGGTTGTAAGAAGAGAACTTTTGGTTGCCGAAAAAGAGAAGAGAAGTGATTGGAGGTATGGGAGTCAGGTTTGGTCGCCAGAGAAAAAAAAGGGGATCGCCGGAGAAGGGGAGGGGGCATCTGGGCGGGGGAATCGCCACATCAACAAAAAGATAACGGATCAGTATAGTGTTAGGCTCCAATTCAAAACTAGCGGATTATAGTGAAATTGGGTTTATAAATTGCATGTGTCAAAGTTGGGATTTGGGAATATTGTATGCTAATGTTGATCTCTCAAAGTTCAGGTTATTCATAACATTTTTTACTTTAATTCAATTGTCAGCATAGTTGTGAATGGCGCTCGCCATTCTCGCCAAAGGCGCTTATGGCTCTGTGGCGGCCTTCTGACGCCATCCTCTAGCCTGGCGAGGCGTTTTACGCCATTCTCGCCATAGGCGTCGCCATCGTCGCCATCGTCACCAAGGGCCGTGGCGAAAGGCGTTCGCTATGTACGCCAGACCGGTCAAGGGTTTTTATTGACTTTTTTTTTTAAAAAGTCTGCTGACCTGACCTATATCACTGGACGATCGAAGGACTTCATCGATTCATCTGACTCGCCTCTGCCCCTCACCGTCGATCAAATTCTCCTCGCCGTTCTCGTCGCCGGACTCAGCCACATGCCATCCTGAAGTTGTCCTCAGCCGGCGCAGATCCTCTTCCCTCTCTGCCGACTCACTTCTTCGCAGTTTCAGAGCCGACTCCACACTTCGCAGGTCACTCAATCCTTTTTTTTTGTTTGTTTTCTTATTGTTTTTTTTTTGTGGCTTGGATTTGACGGATGAGGATTATGATTAAATATCTTGCTTTCTTTTTAAGTACTAAGTGTTGTTTTTTGTTTTAAGTTTTACCAATAACTCATGTTTTACTTTGATAATTATGTTTGATACAAAGTTAAGACTAAAAGTTTAGACTTAAACTATATATATATATATATATATATATATATATATATATAAAAATTAATTTATTTATATAATGTTCGCCATTTGACCGCCCGCCGCTCGCCACGCTTCTCGCCATAAAAAAGAACCTCTCGCCCACCACTCGCCATTCGCCATTCACAACTATGATTGTCAGTTTAGCATTACTCACATCCACACAAAAAAAAGAACAAAACTTGAAACTCAAAGTAAACTCACACAAGACTGCTGTTTTTAACATGAACGGGCTCATAATTCACAGGTTAAAAATAATTATCAAGCTCAAAAAAGCTTAATCATTGAAAGGAACTACAAGATCATAACCAAGATCCTCAGAGTTAAGATCATGGTAACTGCTCTGATATAAAGCCACTTGCAGAAGTGGCAGAACCACTTACCATCCTCCCGACATATACTCCCTCTGCCCCAAATGAAGTTCACAATTGAATTCATAAGTTTTTATGGAAGGTAAATTTAGGTGTTGTGTTTCCAAATAAGCTCCTCAATTAAAGATTTGTTGGTGAAGTGAGAGGTTAAACTCATTTCGGAAGTGGAAACTTTGTAGGGGTATTATTGTCTTTAAATACCTTTCCAAAAATGGAAGTGTGGACATAAATTGAGGACATCCAAAGAGGGCGGGAACCCAATTGGAGGGCGGGAACCCAATTGGAGGACGGGAGGAGTACTAAATATAATGCAGTCTTCTACGATAGAACTGTCATTTCAAGAGAATTTCAGAACATAGGGTTTCAGTTAGAGATGGATATTTGTAAATCAAACCTGGGCCTGTTTCTGAATTAAATGGTCAGTCAACTGACCAAGCCTGCGCTTTAGCTCGACTTCTACTTCAGTAGGATTCTCCAGTTCACTCTTAGTAGAATCAATGCTTGTTTGTAGTGTCCTTGCCTGTATTGGTTTAAGCATCAAAGTTTACTAATCAGTATCAGTAGCATACACAAAATTCAAAT